ATAAAGTAGACAGAACGAATTAATAGACGTTTTAATGCGGTGGAGGCGCCACGCGGTAGCTTTTTCGTGCGATCTTGAGAAAATGTACCGCCAGATCAAGGTGCATGAGGATGATTTACCATTCCAGAGGATCGTGTGGCGGGAAGACTCTTCGCAAAAGCTTAAGAGCTACGAACTCACCACGGTTACGTACGGTCTTTCATGCGCGCCTTACTTGGCAATTCGTTGCCTTCGTCAACTCGCGAACGAACATCATTCTCGTCAACCTCTCGGCGCGGTGATACTTATCAAAGACACGTATGTTGACGACATTCTTTCCGGAGGGAATGATATTGATGAGGTGCAGGAGGTAATCTTCCAACTAAACCAAGTGTTAACGGCGGGCGGTTTTAACGCGCATAAGTGGAATTCGAACCGTTCGGAGGCTCTTACATTATTGTCTTCTGATCTCATCGCAGAAACGAGTACCCTAGACATTGATGATGGTCACTCTCCTCGCGAGCTCGGACTTCTCTGGAATAAAGTAGACGATCAATTTCTATTTAGTTTGAACTTTACGCGCGAAAATTCTGTAAAACTTACCAAACGTTCGGTATTATCATTTATTGCGCGGTTATTCGACCCTCTCGGGTGGTTGTCTCCGTTGATAATCACAGCGAAGATTTTCATGCAAGAATTGTGGACGCGCAAACTCGACTGGGATGAATCTTTACCAAACGACTTGGTTTCGAAGTGGACGTCGTTTCTTGACGATTTTCGCGGTATTCCAACTATTCGCGTACCGCGCTGGCTTGGAATGAACAGCGACGTCACTTCCATTGAATTGCATGGTTTCGCGGACGCTTCTAATAACGCGTTTGGAGCAGTCATTTACCTTCGTGTAACTAAACCCGGTAAAGTTGTAATTTCGTTAATTGGTTCTAAAACAAAAGTGGCGCCTTTAAAAAGTGTTACTATCCCGTGGCTCGAGTTATGCGCGGCTGTTCTTCTAGTGTGGTTGACGAAACGCGTTCTAAGTGTTTTAGACTTTCAAGATGTTCCCGTCCATCTGTAGAGTGATTCAACGGTGGTCCTTTCATGGATATGCAGCCACCCAAGCAGATAGAAGGACTTCGTCCGTAATCGAATAATAGAAATCCAGGAATTACCCGAAGCTCAGTGGTCCTATGTTACGAGTCAAGACAACCCTGCTGACCTCGCTTCCAGAGGAGTTCCCGTACAGCAACGCCAGTATGATTCGTTTTGGTGGTCAGGACCTTCGTGGTTGTCTCTACCTTCGTCCAACTGGCCTTCTGGTCGACCAGCAGCACCACCCGAGGCAAAACGAGAGCAACGTTCTAATCCAATTATTCATACAGCATCTGTCATGTATGGCTGGGACCTGAAACATCGATATTCAACGCTTAATAAGTTACGATCAGATCCTTCATCCAAAAATGTATGATCTGTGCTAAACAACGGACGGAGGCGAGCCAGCAACTTATGGGACAGTTGCCCCCTTCACGTGTCACACCATCCAGACCATTCACCAACACCGGAGTCGACTACGCTGGACCTTTTCAGCTTCGAACCTTCCGAGGGCGCAGCGGTAAGACTTATAAAGGGTACTTAGTATAGTTTATATGTTTAGCAACATCGACCATTCACCTCGAAATTGCGACCGATTATTCAACATCGGGTTTCCTGGCAGCATATAAGCGATTCTTCGGTCGACGAGGCCTCTGTAAATATTTATACAGTGACTGCGGAACGAATCTGGTTGGCGCCGACCGCGAGCTTCGGACAATGTTTTCAGCTGCTTCATTTGTTGATTGGTTCGGCTCTTAATATCGTTCCCGAGCCGTCCCTCTTAGACGAAAATGTATCTCATCTCTCTCGCTGGCAAACTCTTCGACGAATGGTAGAGGATTTCTGGAGAAAATGGGAAAGATTCTACCTTCAATCAATCTAGAACTCAACTAAATGGTTTGATAAACGAAACCTACCAGAGATTGGAAGTCTGGTACTCGTCAAGGATGAGCGACTCCCTCCAGCTAAGTGAATGATGGCACGAGTTCTTCAGCTTCACTCCGGTTCCGATGGCAATGTTAGGATTGCCACAATAAATAGACGCCTACCACCACACTATTTCGTCCTATCGCTAAGTTATGTGTACTTCCCTGTTAAAGATTTTGTTTAATTCCCCACAACGAAGATATATGTTTATATCTATTTTCAGTTACTTGCAATTTTGTTGTTTATTTTTTTTGTTTTTTGTCGACGGTACATGCTTTCACTTTTCAATTCTTATTTTGATACCGTAATTTTCGTTAATTCTCTGTTCAAATTCGATTCAATGCTTTGTTCAACTGTCCAATGAATTGTTTACTTGTGTGTTTACTCTTTCAATTTCGGTAACCCCTTTTGTACACATTTTGTAAGTCCATGTGGACAGTTAGACGAAAGGTCGCGATTTATTTCTTATAAAGAATTCTTTATTTTCATTTCACAAAGTTATCTGTTTTGACGTTACCGCTTTTCATATCGTCTTAATAATGTTTAAAATTCAATTTATAATTTCAAAATTAATTCTTTTATTCATTTATTTATTTTAATTTTTGTTTGAGTGTCGAGTGGTACGTGCGCAGAAATTTCAAAACGTGTAATGTAACTAGTTATGTCTTTCAATAAATCCTCTTTTGTGTCCAGCCTTCAAGTGTATCAGTTCTTCGCTGTGAAACGAGTTATTCTTTGTATAAATCTAAAAGTTGATTAAAAGAGTAAGACTTAATTATAAACGTTATCATATCCCGGAACTTACCTTTAATTTTGGAACGTTCACTATAAACTTTTTCGAGTTAACGTTAAATAATCTATTTTTCTTAAAATAAATTTTCTTGAGCTTTTTTCGAACAGGAAGATATTGATGAAGAAACTATAGGTGGAATACAAGATTTGCCGTCTGACATTGTTGGAACATTTGAAATTTTATTACCAGACAATGAAATTGCAACTGATATGGAAGTTGACGTACTAAACCAAGAAATGCCGCTTACCACTCAATCTATCAAATTGCCGGTTATTGAAGATGTCACTTGGTGTAAAACACCAATTGACTATGAGAAAGTTAGTGTGTCAAATGAACATGAAAACATAAAGAACATTTCCGAGTCTTTACATGGAAAATCGGTGCTTGATTTTTTTAAGCTTATGTTTGATGAAAGTGTTATGCAATGTATTATTTCAAATTCCATAAAATATTCGAGAGATTATAATCGTCCTCACTTTAGCTTAGTTCAAAACGATTTAGAAGTTTTGTTAGGTCTACTAATTTTCAGTGGCTATCATACACTTCCACAAATAAAACTTTATTGGTCTTCCGATGAAGATAAGGGCGTCCAGTTTGTAAAAAACGCCATGTCCCGAAATAGATTCGTTGAAATAAAGAAAAATATTCATTTAGCAGACAATAATCAGTTGGACAAGAATGATAAATTTGCTAAAGTTCGACCATTGATTACCCATTTGAATAAGAATTACTTGAAATATGGTATATTTAGACAACATTTATCCATTGACGAGGAAATGGTACCATACTTCGGTCTTCGGTTTATACCATTCATATGGAGGGCGAAACAAAACTGGCTCAAGACACACCACAGGACGCGGTTCCACAATTTCTGTACCTTCAACCTCCAAATTGAACCAAAACCTTTTTAGGTTTTGGTTCTCGACTTTGATTGTTCCTGTGCCATCGTGCTGGATTTTTGGTTTTGCGGCGGTTTTTTGGACCGTTTACTGTCTGGCTCCCTGTTTGTATTATGGGTTTTTGTATTTTTGCGACTTGCAACCTCTATCTCGTTCCTCTGCTGAAGAATTAAAAATAAAATTTGAAAGCTAAGGTACTAGTAAAGGAGGTTTTTATTCACCCCACGGTTGATGATCCCAATATTTGGCTCCGTAGTTGTTAGATATCTTTCACCTTAAAAAGAAATCTTGACCGACATATACAAACTATACATAGCCAAACCGAGTTTGATTGTTCGATATGTTGAAAATATTTTTCGGGGCGAGACAAATTGAGCGCACATCAACGATTACTTCATGGATTACCAATTAAATCTAGACGTCAAGCGCCGCCGCCACCACCTTCAACTATTAAACCTCAACCGAATTTTGAGATGAGAGTTCCTACATCATCATAATCATCACCTACTAAACACCGAGATTCAACACCTCCACTACTTTCAGTTACCAAGAACAAAGGTCGTCGTCACTTACGTCGCTTGAAACCCACCCATCTTCGAACGCAGCATGTTGAATTAATCGATAAGAATGTTGAAAAAATAATGTCTTGCTATAAAAATGGAGGGGTTTGCTATAAAATTAGTGAAGCTTAATCTGATGATATACCGTCATATGTATTGAAATGTTGTGAAACAGTCAATAGACTGATTGAACGGCACCTCAGTGGGAACGGTTCGACTAAAGCTCTTACAACATATGAAAAAATAATGAAAATAATGAAGAAATTGAAGCTGGAAAAGATATCTATGGACCGTCTTATTACGTTCGAGAACTTCGTGGCGCTGTTAAAAAACGAAGCAATTGCTAGAATTAGAGAATGCGTTAAACGCCGACATAATAGCGCAATTTTCATTATTGCCTGCAGGAAGAGCACATCCATGCAATCCACGATTGCAGCTACAACGAGTCACGTTGTAGATGCGCCAGAATCCAAGAGCTCAGAGGTGGTCGAAGAACAAATAGACACGTTGTTTGGGTTCACCGAATCACAAATCGGTGGTGTAAATAAATTCGCCATTTGTGGTTTTAACCCTTAAGTGATCCGGTAAAATTAACATACATTAAGGGTCTAGTGGGGTCCATGAGAACCCCAAAAGTTTAACATGCTTATTAAAACAGAGGACACAAAATACAAAAATTTTATTTTTCAAAATTTAAAACTGCACTTTTTTTGACATAATTAAATACATTTATAAACAATTTTGGCAAACTGAATAGCGGTGGCTGAGGCAGATATGCTTTTTGCATTTTTCGCACACCATTTTTGTCTTTTTGTCTGCCTGTCGTGGGCAAAAATAGCATCTTGATTTCCTTGTCGGTTCTGTATCCTTATTTTGCTTCATAGTGCCTAAAACGGTCAAGTTTTTCTTTTTCATTTCTTCACATAGCTCAAGTGACATGAACCAGTTGTCAACCGTAATGTTTCTATTAGTCCCTTGAATCGGTGTAATAAGTTTGAGAACATCTTTTGTTGGAATTGATAAAGTTTTATCATTTGCTGTCTCTTTGCCTGTGTAAACAAAGGCATTACATAAGTAAAAACTGCGAGAATCGCAAAGACACATTATTTTCAATCCGTACTTGGCCGGCTTTTTTGGCATGTACATCCGAAAACTACACCTACCACGAAATGGGACTAGCATTTCGTCTATGGTAACATTTTGGCTTGGTGTATAATACTTCTGACAATTGGCTACGAAGATGTCCCATAATTCTCGAATTGCTGCAAGTTTGTCATTTGCTTTTCTAGCTTCCCTTGTGGCAGCACAATCAAAACGCAAACATGTCAGAATAAACAAAAACCTTTTAAGGCTCATTGTTGCCCGAAAAACATCACGTCCGGTACCATCATTTGCAAAAAGTCCTTCCACATTTTCATGGTTTGATTTCATTATACCAGAAAGATAAAGCAGACCAATAAAAGCTCTCAACTCCGTCATATCAAGGAGACTTACAAATGCAGGTTGAGGTGCTTTATAGTGGTGCTGCATCTCACTTATTTTATTATTTGTGTTTACCAAAATTAGTTGCAAAAAATCTTGAGGAATAAGTAACTGCCAAGCGGGCAATATATCAGACCGCTCAACATTCCTCGCTTCATTTTTAGTACCTGGAAGACGGATGACTAAATTGAGCTTACGTGATCGAGTTGGTTTGAGACACTCTTTTGACCACTTGTAGCACCGTTTCTTTCCGAAATAAAATTTATCATCTGATGTAGTACCATTATCTTCGTCATCCGATTCTGAACTTATTGAAGCTTCTGATGTTGAATCATGATCACTTTGTCTAGATGTATCATCAGCATCGCTCTCTTCTTCAGACTCAAAAAATGCTGGATCTTCTAAAATGCTCTCCAACTCTGTGTCTGTCAAGAACCGCTTTGAAGTTGAAGCCATTCTGTAAAAAATGTGTGTACATAACCTCACATTTTATATATTTCTGTAAACAAAACTTGATATAATGTGCGAAAATTAACTTACGTCAATGGTCTGGTGGGGTCTCCGAAAACTATTTATTTTTTATTTATTTTTTTATAACTTTTTCTACAATTCAGATACACCAACAGAAAAATTGCAATTTGACTGAGGAATATAGAAATTCACACCGTCATCTGTTACAGAGAGGATAAATTATAAACAAATTTGTACTGTCTGGGGTCTCTCTGTACCCCACTAGACCAGTTAAGGATTAAAGAAAAATGTTTCAAATAAAGGTTTCTTTATTAATTATGGCGCATTTTTTTGGCGATATTTACTTGTTTACGTTGTTTCTATGCTATGGCAACCAACATTGTTATTTTAAATGAGATGCATATGTCTTTTTTGCCCTCTACGCGATGAACATATCAAATCATATCGTTGTATAAGAAAAAAGACGAGAAAAAACGCGTTCTCTGAAAACATTATCAAGAAATTACAATCAAAGTAGGCGCCGAAATAGCGCCGTTGACAGCTTTAAATGTCAAAAAGTTCACAGTTTAAACAAATATGGCGGAATTAAGCGAACGACAAAGAATCCAAATATTAATGCTGTATGGGTACGGTGATAGAAAATGCACTCAAAGTGAAGTTTGTACACTGTTCAATAATATTTACCTGGATATACAATCCACAGTATCCAAAATATTAAAAAAATTCCTTAACACCGGAAGTGTTAANGATTAAAAGAGTAAGACTTAATTATAAACATTATCATATCCCGGAACTTACCTTTAATTTTCTGTCGTTCACTATAAACTTTTTCGAGTTAACGTTAAATAATCTATTTTTTTTTAAAACAAATTTTCTTGAACTGTTTTCGAACAGGTTGGAATATCGCGTAGTTCAGTCTGGAGGATAATAAAAAAAATAAATTTCACCCATTCAAAATGATTGTTCATCAAGAATTAACCGAAAATGATTTTCAGTTAAGAATTAATTTTGCACAATGGGGTTTGCAACAGATAGGACAAAATAGAAATTTTTGTAATAATGTTTTATTTTCGGACGAAGCAAGTTTTCGAAATGATGCTGTTGTTGTAAGACATAACATGCATTATTACGATAATGTAGGACACAAAATCCCAAATGTTCGTATTTGTTCAAAGCGAAATATGGACATTGTGGCTCGGTATACAGGATTGGCAAATTCATCACAAAATCATTCTCTCGTAGGAACATCCCAGCTTCTGTCAACTCCCGCATGAATAAGTAAACCACAGAATGCAAGAACATTTACAGTTACATCTTTCCACGGTTTTCCTTTTGCTCCATAAACACGTTTGCCCTCTAAATTAGTGCAGTTCACAATTTTTTGTACAATAACTGGAGTTACAAATAACTGAAACGCTTTTTTTGGTGTTGCAGCCATATGTTTCCTTGCTAGTCCTGGCGAACGCCGAATAATGTTGTGTGGTTGAATTTTATTTTTTGCTGGAGGTTTCAAACTCCATACCAGACCACTTGGAGCAATGTAACCGCTCGTTGAAGGCTTACCAATATCATCAACATCATCCTCTGAATTATCGTCACACCATGATCAGAACAGGATCCAGAATACTCGTCAGGAACCAATTCGAAATTTCTATCTTCTTTGTCATCATTTTCTGCTTCTCACACATCACTTTCTTCAGAAGGCAGATCATTACATTCAGCTGCCCACTGCACCAATATTTCTTCATAACCGGGGTCACTAAATCTCACGCTTTTCACATTCCTTTTTGACGTCATTATCATATGTATCTAACAAGTTCACTCAATCCAACTTCTATTACAACTGAATGAAAAACAGCTGCACCTACTTTTATACATCCAACAGTAATGCACGTTTTAACTTGCACAGACACGCACAATTCCGCGCAGCAGTGTTTGACAAATTATAATAACCCTCAACCTGTAATGAACAAGTTGAAACTTGCTCTATAGTAACTAAGAGTACACAGGCTTCGGATGCCCAGTTTATGCAAATACGGGGTGCTAATGGAAACGATTTTTTGTTTCGATTGCTAATTACACGTGAATTTTTTTGAATCAAGTGTGTATTGAATAAAGACGTGTTTAGAGCATATCTAAATGCTCAAGCCGATTGAAATTATTTTATGAAAATTATGAGTAATTAAAATCTCGCCGGGCCTGAGAGGCCCGGTTTATGCATCCTAGGGTTAAATAAACTGTAGATCATATAGTATTTACAAATTTTTTTTTTATATTTCTATTGTGGAATTTTAGAGTATAAAATAACCTTAACCTAATAAATAAACAGCATATTTTGACGGAAAATTTGTACATATAAAATTATTATTAAATAATTACCTTAATACACCTTAATAATGATTATTATTATTATTAATTATTATTGTAAAAATTGCCGACCTACCCCTC